GCGCTGGATGTCACCCGACCCCGTTTCCCCGCGCAGAATGTCAGTGTTTACCGCAAAGGCTCGTGTTTACATGGACGTGCTGCCCCGGAGCCAGGCATTGGCGGCAACGGGGCTGCGATGTGCTCATCCCAAGGCTCCTTCCTCAGGGGATTGCAAGTGCTGCTGTGCCCAGGCCGGAGGAAAAATGGTAGTCCACGTGTAAATAAATAATTTTAAAATCCTGTTCAATGGCAGGCTTGGAAAAAAAAGCAGTATTTATATAGAAAGGTGGTTTTTGCCACCAGTGCAGGTATTTATTTAAATAAAGGACAAAGGGGGCCATTTTGAATGGAAAAATTATCAAAATTATGGAAAAAATGAATTATTGACTGGATGTACTGAAATATTTCCTTCAGTAGGAATATTCCTGTGTGACACTCGCTGTGACTGTGTTTCCTTCTTACATATCTGATTCTGTGGAATATTTTGTGTGAAATTTTTCTGTTTACTGCTCATGGGAAAGAGAAGATATCTCTGTAATCCTTTTATTTCAGTATCTCTGTTTGTGCAGCTTTTCCTTGGCTGCAGAGCTCGCACCTGAGGCTGGCACTACCTGCTAAGCTAAACATGGTACTTGTTCCCAAAAATGCAGGAATTCATTTGTCACATGGCTCCCAAAGAGGAAGCGAATGCGTTTTATTCCGCCTCGGGTGGTCGGTGTGGGATTTGCAGCTCCATATCTGTGTGCTCGGAGCGGAGCAGGGCTAAGCCCAGCTGCTGTGCCAGGGCTGTGCCCGTCCCCGCTGCCAGCTTTGTGTGTCCTTGGCACTGCTTGGTCCCTGTGTGCGTGCAGCTGTCCCTGCATGGGGGGATGGAGAGCCCTGGGGCGGCCCCAGGGTCTGCTTCTCCACCCTCCCTGCCCTCCGTGCATTGACATTCCCGGTGGAAATATGCTCGTGGAATAAAACCCGACTGAAACGTGTTGGCTTGCCTGGCTGTCAGTGATCTCCTGCTGATGGTGCATCAGGAATCTCAGTTTCCCCCATTTCCTTTGGAGGGAGTGAGAGCAGGATCCTGCTCTGCAATGGGTTGGGTTGGGAGGATATTAAGAAATGCTGTAGGAAACTTCACCAGCATTAATACTTTTGTCTGAAGAACAACAACAAAAAATCTGGAGGGGAGCCTCCGGTGTGATAAATTGACACTCGGTCCAGCGGTTGCCTGGAGCGCGCTTTGAAGCGGGAGAGGCTCCTGGGGAACTTCCCCCTCTCTCTGATGTCTGAAAATTAAAAATTAATCCGCTATGAAAAATTAAAAGGTGAAACTTTCTGCTCTTTCAGCAGCAGAGCTTTTGGAATGCTGATGTGGGGCTTGGAATGGAGGCTGAGTGACATCTCCGGGAACATCACCGTGGGCTGGCGCATTCTAATATCAGATTTTAATTGATTTTTGTAAATTGGAAACCTGTTTGCGAGGACTGGAGATGCCTAAAAAGGGGTAAATATTTATTTATTGATGTAAATAACCTTAAACAGGCATTTACTCACTCCTGCAGAGCTACTCACAGCTTACAACACAGTGAAAGGAGACCGATGCTTCCAGCTTGGAAGCCGGTGAGGATGCCGGCTGAAACGGAGGCAGAGCCCCCGTGCAGTGTGTGCCTGCAGCCAGGGATGCAGCCGAGCCCAAAGCGCCGTGTCCCAGCCCCGCTGCCAGGCAGCCGTGGGGAGAGCAGAGATGAGCTCCCATCAAGTGCACTGGCTTGGAAAATGGGGAAGGGTTAGGGTCAGGCGCACACGGTCCCGGGGGAAGCGCTGCCGGGGGAAATGGGAAGAGCTGCAGCCGCCTCTGCTGTGATTGCTCCTTTCAGAGTCAATTTGCTGTGGCTTCAGTTGTCCAGAGCCATCACCTGCTCCTGGCTGTGCTGTGGGAGGGGGGTACAGAACCCTGGAGTGGTTTGGGCTGGAAGGGCCCTGAAAGCTCAGCCAGCTCCAGCCCTGCCATGGGCAGGGACACAGCTCAGGACAGCAGCTCCCTAAAGGAATTCTGTCAGACACACGGTGGGCACACTGGGAAGGAGGATAAATGGGACTCATGGACTCAGAACCACACACTGCACTGCTGGGATACAGGGAATCCTCTGCATGTGGGTTCCAGCTCAGAGGAATAAAACGATAAAGAGATAAAACACTTTTTTCTCCCAAACTGGAGGTTTGGATAGTTCACTGCTCCTGAACATGGGAGCTGGAAATGGTCACCCTCCATCGACACCAGTGGCACCCAGGGAGCCACTGCTGTGGGCACAGGGAGCCCTGGCAGGCTGGAATGGCTGGAATGCCGTGCCCTGCTGGAAAGGTGCCCAGGGAGCCCTGGCAGGCTGGAATGGCTGGAATGCCGTGCCCTGCTGGGAAGGTGCCCAGGGAGCCCCCCCCCAGCTGCTCCTCGGAGCATCTTGTCCAACTCTGCTAAAGGATTTAAACACCCGTTGGAATTAATCTGCTGGATAAAACCTTTTCTTCATAGTCTCCATTAATCACCCGTCCTTGCCGTAGATCCTTGCAGGAAAATAGATTTTTAAACCTGTCAGCTGTGGTTTTGTGGGATTCGTTTCGTGCCTGCTCTGTCTGTTCTCCTGCACTGCCGGGGAGGAGGGAGACAATGACAAACTCCGGGCGTTCATTGCTGCCCCGAGCCCGGAGCTGGGAATTGTGTAACCACTGGGTGGGTTGGGGCATTAAATACTGAGTTTGGGTCAGGGTCGGCAAGGCAGGAGATTGGCAGGGCTGAAAATCCGTCCCGAGCCGCCTCCCTGGGACAGCGGCGGATTCGGGAAGGCAGCGAGGCTCCAGCGCTGGGGGCAGCACTCACACAGCTCGCCCGAAGCTCATCCCCGACATCGAGCTCACGGAGGGCAGGTTTCCATCCATCCACACCGGCCCCACCCGTGTCCCGCGGGCCGCTCGTGGGTGGGATCCCGCAGGATGCGGTACCGAACCCAGCTCCCTCGCTGGCATCAGTAATGGATGGAGGCGGAACTGCGGGGCCCCAGGGGGAAACACTTCCAGGAAAGGCGGCGGAGGAGCCCCCGGGGAGCGGCGCGCAGGGAGCGCGGCTGTGGCTGCCGAACGGAGCCGAGCCATTAGCGCGGCTCTGCCGGGAAGGGCGGCGGCGCTGCCAGCCCTGCCGTGCCGGGCGGGGAGGCACTGCCAGCCCCGGGGACACGCCGGGGACACGCCGGGACGCCAGGGCACGCGGGGCGCACACAGGGACACGGGGCACGCAGAGAGACCCAGGGCACGCGGGGCGCACACAGGGACACGGGGCACTCAGAGAAACCCAGGGCACACACAGGGACACAGGGCATGCAGGGCACACACAGGGCATGCAGGGCGCACACAGGGACACAGGGCATGCAGAGGGACCCAAGGCAGGCAGGGCACTCACAGGGACACAGAGCACTCAGAGGGACCCAGGGCACACACACAGGGACCCAGGGCACACACAGGGCATGCCGGGCACTCCAAGGGACACAGAGCACTCAGAGGAACCCAGGGCACACACAGAGGGACCCAGGGCACACACAGGGCATGCCGGGCACTCCGAGGGACACAGAGCACTCAGAGGGACACAGGGCACACACAGGGACACAGAGCACTCAGAGGAACCCAGGGCACACACAGGGACACAGGGCATGCAGGGCACACACAGGGCATGCAGGGTGCACACAGGGACACAGGGCACACACAGGGACCCAGGGCATGCAGAGCATTCACCAGGACACAGGGCACACACAGGGACCCAGGGCACACACAGGGACCCAGGGCACACACAGGGTATGCCGGGCACTCCGAGGGACACAGAGCACTCAGAGGGACACAGAGCACTCAGAGGAACCCAGGGCACACACACAGGGACCCAGGGCACACGCAGAGCACCCCGAGGAAGCAGCCATGGATGAAGCAGCACCGGCAGAGCAGCAGGACCGTGCTCTCCCCTGTTCCCGCAGCACAGACCGAGCCCAGCCCCAGGCTGAGCTGTTTGCCCCGTTTGAGCACGGGCCAAGGGGTAAAACGCAGAGGTATTTATTCTGGTTTAGCCCCCGGAAGAAGGGGAGGGAATCGGGAGCACATTGCTGGCTGGGAGGGCGGGCAGGCCCTGGCACCGGTGCCCAGAGCAGCTGTGGCTGTGCCCCGGGCCGGGCTGGGCAGCGGGAGGTGTCCCTGCCATGGCAGAGCTGGCACTGCATGGGCTCTGAGCTCCTTCCCAGCCCGGCATTCTGTGACTGGCAGCACAGCCCACAGGGGAGGCTGCTCCAGGAGGGACACGGCCCATCACCGAGCTCCTTTTCCATATGGAGGGATCCATACGCCCGTATGACATTTCTAGGACACGCTATTTTTGCCTCGTGAGGGGGCTGGAAACATCAGAGTGGCTTTCAAGAAATGAAAGCACCCTATTTAAGCTGAGAAAATTGTTCTTGCTGATTAACCTCGAGCTTTTGCACAGTGTCTCTGGTGACACAATCGCACAGGCTCTGAGGTGAGGAGGACAGGGGTGGTGGAGCTGCTGGCATGTGCAGCGGGTAAAACGGCCCAAATGGGGTTTGGAAACCTCTCGAGCTGCTCCATGGGGATGTGTTGGGGTGCTGAAAGGGGTCACCCCGAAAAGTAACCCCCCAAAACTGGGGCTCAGAGGCTGCTCCTCAGCAAAGAGCAGTGCGACACGACAGCCTGGAAGTTACAGAAGTAAATTCCCTGATGGAAAGCAACCACAGATTTAGGTGGGCAAAAAGGCAAAAAATAAATTCCCCTAAACTTCTTGTACTTCATTTGCTCCAGAGTTTGCAAAATTTCTCAAGTTCGTTGGTTATTTTTTTTTTTATGCAGGAAATTCCATGAAAATGATGACAATTCTGGGAGGTGAAAAGCAGCCCATCTCTGAGAGTGTAGATCCAGCGGGGGGGATTTAGCTCTTCCAGCCTAGAGACACACCAACTGCAGTGTGGAGAGGCTCCCAGACTTTCTTTCCCTTTCTTTTTTCCCTTTTTTCTCCGTGGGGATAATAATAACAGTGTCAAGGACACCATTCAAGCTGATGCCTGGAGAGCTATTCAGTCCAGGCCTATTTACGGCCATTATAAAATGCCTGTGGATAGTTCAACGACCGATTTTCAAGAGTCTTTCTCTACCTTTTGAAGGCTCAGGAAAATCTATCAAACTGCAGAAATTAAGCTATTTTTCTTCGGGGGAAGAGAAACAGAGCAGGGAGCTTCTCACATTAAAATGCTGCCGTAGATTCGCGATGAATGAAAAATTGCCCGGCATAATAATGAGCTGGGAGATGGATTTTGAAGCAGCTTAAAGCTCTGTGGCAGCAGTGCTGGGGATTTGGAGGTGAAAGATGGAGGGTCTCTGGGAGCTGCTGTTCCCACATCCATCCAGGGAGCGAGGGATGAAATGGGCTCCCAGCACAATCTGGCTCTCAAGGCCATCCCAACCCACAAATGGAGCCCACTGGCGTTTCCAAAGCCTCCAGTTCCATTTCATTGAGTGGGAAGCACGTTTATTTTTCCCTTACAAGGTGCCAGCTCCCTCGTGTGTGTAACCACAGAGCATCACCTCCCCGTCCTGCAGGCAGAGCCCAGCCCACTTCCCACCAGGAGGGGAGGCCCAAACAGGGCACATCCCTGGCAGCCTCCGAGGGCCCCTGGGAGTGCCATGTCCTGCATGTCCCCTGCTGTCCCACACCCCAGCCGTACCATGGTGCCGCTGTCCTGCCTGTCCCCTGCTGTCCCACACCCCAGTGCCATGTCCTGCCTGTCCCCTGCTGTCCCACACCCCAGCCGTGCCATGGGAGTGCCATGGTGCCGCTGTCCTGCCCTGCATGTCCCCTGCTGTCCCACACCCATGGGAGCTGCCCTGCCCTGCCCTGCCCCTCGCTGGACAGCCCATCCTGCTTTCAGGGCCTGCTGTGGAACCCATC